AGCCGGGAGCTGCCCACCGGCGAGGGCGCGGGGAGGTCGGGCGGACGGCGACCGCGGCCGCCGGGACCGGGGCGGGAGGGCGGCGCGCCGGAATCCGGCTGGATTTGGGGGGAGAGGAGTGGACGGGGGAGAAGAGAGGGGCGGAATTCGAATTTCGGGGGATGCGACTGCTGCTCTCTCTGATCTCTCCTTTTTTTTCTCTGCGCGTAGCCGTCGGCTCGGAACCTGACGGGGCCGAGCCTCACATGGGCTGGGATGGGCTAGGCTGATTTTTTTTCTCTGCGCGTAGCCGTGGGCTCCTGGTAGGTTCTCGCTGGGTTTCTTTTAGCCTTCCCTAAAAAAAAAAGTTTTTCTTTTTTAGCCGCGATAGCAAGAACTCTGCTTTTTTCCGGAAAAAAATGAAGATCTACGGAAACCTTTTTTCCTGGAAAAATATTAAGATATACGGAAATGATAAGTACCTGACGTCAGGTACGAGCACAAGGCAAATTGAACGTTTTCGATGGCAATTGTAGTGACACAAGGATGGCAAGTTAGTGGACACGCGGCAATTTTCTATCAAGAAACAAACTGAAGCACAAAATTATCATGCTTGCCAACTAAAATTATAATCCTCGCGTAACTAAATTTGTCGTCGAAAATGTTCAGTTTGCCATGTGATCGCACTTGACGTTTGGGTATTATCAGATTCCAAGTCTATTAGTATAAAAGTTCATACCATTTTTAAAGAAAAAGTGCACCATAACTACAAAGCCTCCCAAACATAATGAAGATTACGTCATGGTCCATGAACGATAAAACAACCAATGTCGCGCCAAAATAAGTCGTCGACACGCAGTCGTCACTACTCCCATATCGGAGCCGGTCTGACCTTGTAGATGATAACCTGGAAGGCTTTGTGCATGTGCCCCTATAAGGACTAGTGCCTCGGAGCCACAGTTGACGTGGTTCAGCCCTTGAATCAATTTTAAGAACCTAAAAAATCTTGCAGCCGCGTATGCCCGGTGAGAGACCATAACCTCGTCATCGAAGCTCCATCTAATTCGTTCTGAAGAACGAACTTGAGGAGGATCGGAACCCGAAAGACTGACTCAAAGAAGAAACATCGCCATCCATCCGGACGTCGCCCATGTGAGGACTAAAAGCCTAACCTATCTACTAGATGGAGCCAAGGCACCAGGATTCCCCTCCTAGCCATCAGACGTTGCAGAACCAGGTAGAGGGGGGTGAATCTACGGGCTCGCTAGCAAAGATCGAGGGGATGAATGTTTTGCCCTAGTCGCTTTGCTAGAGAGGAAAGAAAGCCATGCTTTGCCATTTTTGTTTTCGAGCATCCGGAAAGAGTGATGCCTTTAGGAATAGAATTTTTTACAAAGTTATTGAAAGGGCCTTCGGGGTTTTTGCAATTTACATTTGCCATTGTTCCTGGTCTTGCTCATTTTTGGGACCAGGAAATCCTAGGCAACATCATGACATGTTGTGTGATTCTTCACAACATGATCATCGAAGATGAAAGGGACATGAACTTGGAGTTCTTCTACGACAATGTCGGTGGCCGTGTAAAGCCAGCTAGAGACCCTGACCGTATACAAGCATTTCTTTAGACATACCGGCAGATCAAAGATGCAAACACCCACCATCAGCTTCAGAAAGATCTCATTGAACACCATTGGCAGAGGCATGGCCAAAGGCATTGAGCACCATTGGCAAAAGCACCGGCCAATTTTACTCATCTAATTATTAGTTTTATTCGGTGAGTTGAATAATATAGTAATTTGGATTCATAATATTCACATTTTATGTTATTTGAATTAATATTACTGTATATTTTATGTTATTTGAATTCATATTAATGTGTCAAATTCAGAAGAAAACAAACCACATGTTTTGGTGGGCTCGTGCGGGCTGCAGCCAAACAGACGCTCTAACTAATAGCTGCTGCCAAAAAAGAAGCCTGAAGTATTTAAACACATGGCAGAGCCGAGATTTGAATATTTTTCTTGCATTTTTTAAAACATTTTCTTGAAATTGTTTATAATTTGAAATCAAATATTCCTAAAAGCAAATAACACACCCTCCATCCCGTAATATAAAAGCGTTTTTTACACTAGTGTAGCGGCAAAAATGCTCCTAGTGTCAAACCCGCTCTTATATTATGGGTCAGAGGGGTAATTTTTAAATCTCCAAACTATTTTGCAAAAATGTAAAGAATTTTTTAGAATTATGAACATTTTTTTAAAACACAAACAAATTTCATAAACATGAATCATTTATGAAATCCCCCCAAAAAATTGAAGTGCGGACACTTTTTGGAAAAAAGGAATGAATTTTAAAGACACTATTTTTTTGAAACCTGAACACAAATTTAAAGTCCGAACAAACTTTCAAAATTTATTTGCATTTACAAAAATAGAAAGTGTTCGCATTTTGAAATTTTGCTCAAGTGTCAAAATGTGTTCCCAATTTTCATACAATGGTTATGTTCGAAAAATGTTCTTGTTTTGAAAAATTGTTCTCACTTCAATTTTTGATAAGGCTTAAAATATTTGTTCATGTTTTAAAAAAAATTACATTTTAAAAAAGGTTCATGTTTGAGAAATGTACGGGGGTTTTAAAAATAGTTAACGTTTCCCAAATCTGTTTGTGTTTTTTTAATGTTCGTAATTCCAAAATCTGTTCACATCTTTGCAAAAATGTTTGTAAATTGAAAAATTATTTTTATGTTTTAATGATATTTGAATTTCAAAATAGTTGACAATTTTGAAGAAAATGTTTTCGAATCTCTACGCTGCTGCTTAAAATATTTTCGCGCTTCAACTTTTATCATCAACAACCATCAGTTTGAGTGGTTAGCCAGAATAGTTCGGTAGTGCTAGATCACATGTTCAATTCCCTGTGACCTTCGAAAACCCACCCCAAGGTTTAAAATAGACCGGGATCATAGAGTTTGATGTGCTGATTTCAAGGATTAAAAGTTCAGAGCTCGATTTAGCTTTCGTCTACAAGTTGAAGGTTTATTTTAGACTTTTTCTCTCGTGGAGACAAGACCGGACCGCATACAGATTGGCCGGAGAAACGACCTAGAAGTCCCAACAATTATCGGAACGGCATGACACGGACACCTGGCAAGCAGACTCCGTTCAGCCCAGTTGTGCTTGTGCACCCGTGCGTGTGTGGAGTGGTAAAAGCAGAGGCTAGCAGAGGTTGGCTTTATGCGATTGCCAACTAAAACTATCGGTAAACACACTCACATTCTCTGCTTTCGACTAGCTCCACCCATCTAGTCTAGGGTAGAAAGTTAGAACTTCGAAATTAAGGATTGATCACCGGGGGTAGCACCCAGGCCGAGGCGGCTTCCATATAATAAAACAAATATAGGAAGTTAGTTGACGAGCAGGAAAGCGCCTCAAAAAACCTCAGCCGAGATCTATCCACGAGCTAGCTTTCAACCCTTTCTGACCCGTTTATGTGCTGAGACCTGAGCGCCCCTTTGCCGATTGCACCACTATCTGCACCGCTTTTCTGCCATCAGACGGCTTTTCGCGACGCCGCGTCAGGACAGCATCATCGGTTTCTGCAGCGTATATAAGCCCTATGCGAGGGCGCCATTCTTTGACAATCCGGACACTTGCGACGTGCTCAGTACGTACGGATTGTGAAAGCGGAAGCAGGCTAATCCGCCAACAAGTAGAAGAAAGGACGATGGGGACGGTGGCGGCGCTGTGGGACGTGCTGGCGAAGGCGGCCAACCTGGCGCAGATGTCCGGCCTGCACGCCGTGATGCTCGTCGCCGCCGGCGTGAGCATCATGCGCATCCCGCATAGCCGGCGGGAGTGCGCCAAGCTCGAGCGCTGCAGCCGCAGGCTCCACGCGCTGCTCAAGTGGCCGACGGGTTGCGCCGCCGCGCTGCTCTGCTCGGAGCTGGGAGGCCCCGTGGAGCAGGCGCTCGCCGACGCGGCCGGCCTCGTCGACTCCTACAACCGGAGCACGCTCTGGTGCCGCGTCCGGAGCGGCAGGAGCATGGCGATCAAGCTCCGCGACATGCGGGACGTCGTGGACTCGTACTGCGTGCTTCTGCTCTTCATCAACGCCGCACATCTCCACCTCTTGCAGGACCCAACACCTCCTCCCCGGTCTACCGATAGCCCAACAGCAGTGACCAATTGCCCCACAGGAACTAGTGACGCTCGAAGGACCAACGACATAGGCAGTCAGACATGCAACGCCACCGACCTGCTGGTTGGATCCCAAAGAAACGTGCCTGCTGGTGGTAGTGATTTCGCATGCATAATTGTGCAGGGAGGAGACTGGTCCCAGTAGATACGTAGGAGATCCTCAGTGTGACATCGAACCTTAAACCACAATCCCTTATCTTTTAGTTCGCTGCAAAAATGCAGAATGCAACATCTGTGTATATAAGCTTGGAACTTGGAAGTTGATTCTCCTTGATGATGGGACCCTACATTATCATGTGTCCTTGGTTTTTGGCGTTGCTGCTGTTGGAATGCCCATGCGATGACCTCTGAGTTGGTCTCACAGGGCCGGAACCCCCCCGCCTCTCTCTCTCCTCGTGTTTTTCATATATGATTCCCCAGTTAAACTTCAGGAGCAATCCAACACAAGAGGAAGCTGACACCACCCTCAGCCTCGTGCTGGATTTTTATCTTAGATTAGAGATGATCTGTGTCCTAACCATCTCCACAATCATCGTCGCCGCTTTTCCATCTGCATGCTGACCTACCTTCCTCAAGTGTCAACCGGTCCCCGGCTGGCCACAATGGAT